TTGTTATTTAAAATTATCTTAGTTCACTGTGCAACAGATCTTTTTTATTACAGAACATTTTCATGCCATAATCTTAACCACAGATATAGAACTGTATCTTACACACCACAGCTAGCCTTGTGAGAACACCTGTAGCACACACACTTCACTTCTAAGTCTGCCAAGGCAAAAAATATAATTCCTTTCTTGACTCCGCACGGAACCTGCAGTATTGTCAGGTTCTAAGTAACTCAGAAAACCTTTTACCAAAGAAAATTTACAAGGCTAAATATTCATTACTTTTAAATCAGAAAGCTATTATTAATAACTTAAAAGGAAGTGATGCTTAAGAGATTAATTTTCTAGGGACTGGAAAGTGACACGGAAAGCGAAGGGTTAGGGTTAGGGTTAGGGTTAGGGTTAGGGTTAGCCCTTTCTCCAAGGGAAGGTGAAACACATCATGCATGCACAGACCTTGAAAATATTTTCCCTTAATGCAGTGTGACATGTATGGTGTGTAAAGCCCGAGCACAATGTCCTTATACAAGATATATACTACCAGCTCCAACCTATGTGTCTGGAACACTCAAACTTTCTCACTTTCTGACAGCTACCGAAAAACTATATAAAACCTAAAAGAAATTATCAAGACATTGTATGTGTCTCGTTTACGTTTGTTTTACAAAGAAGTTACAAAATAAACATGTGACCTCCTATTTCACCTGAAGAATAAGTGCTTAAAGCTGGGATGTGTATTCCTTGACTTGTTCCAGCAATTTACTACCCTATTTCCTATTCTATCATCTACCGCATTGTTTGATAATTGATGGATATAATTGTTGATTTATTTCTCTGACAAATGCCTCTAAGGCATCTTGATCCTATTTTACTCAGAAGACAACCTGAACTCTCCGTAAGCTATTGGAAGAACTGCCTACCATGGATTTGGAGAAGGCTGAGGCTCTCAATGATTTCTTTGCCTCAGTATTCATTGGCAAATGCTCTGACCACACCATCCAAGTCTTGGAAAGCGGACACAGGGACTGTGAGAATGAAGACATTAGGCTCACTGCTGGAGAGGATCCAGTGTGAGACCATTTCAAGAACCTGATAAAACCCATCCTCAGGTCCTGAAGGAGCTGGTGAATGAAGTTGCTAAGCCCCTGTCCATCATATTTGAAAAATCATAGCAGTCACGTGAAGTTCCCAATGACTGGAAAAGGGAAATATAACCCCCATTTTCAAGAAGGGGAAAATGGATGACCCAGGGAATTATAGACCAGTCAGTCTCACCTCTGTGCCTGGCAAAATCTGGGAGCAGATTCTCCTGGAAGTCATGTTAAGGCATGCTAAGGCACATGAGAAACAACAAGGTGCTTGGTGACAGCCAGCATGGCTTCATTAATGGGAAATCCTGCCTGACCAAATTGGTGGCCTTCTATGATGGGGCTACAGAACTGATGGACAGGGATAGAGCAGCTGACGTCATCTACCTGGACTTCAACACTGACCCGCATGACACCCTTGTCTCTAAATTGGAGAGATATCAATTTGATATATGGACCCCTCGGTGGGTAAAGAAATGGCTGGATGGTTACATGCAGAGTTGTGGTCAATGCCTCAGTGTCCAGCTGGAGACCAGTAACAACTTCTGACCCTCAGGCATCAGCGTTGGGACCAATCCTGTTCAACACCTTTGTCGCTGACATGGACAGTGGGATTGAGTACACCCTCAGCAAGTTTGCTGATGACACCAAGCTGTGTTGTTCTGTTGATATGCTGGAGGGAAGGAATGCCATCCAGAGGGATCTCGACACACTTGTGAGGTGGGCTGATGCCAACCTCATTAACTTTAACCATGCCAAGTGCAAGGTCCTACATCTGGGTGGAAGCAATCCCAGGCACAACTAAAGGTTGGGAAAAGATGAGATTCACAGCAGCCCTGAGACAAAGGACTTAGGAGTGCTGGTTGATGAGAAAATGAACATGAGCCAGCTGCAGTGTGCACTCACAGCCAGAAAGCCAACTGTATCCTGGGCTGCATCAAAAGGAGTATGACCAGCTACAGGTTGAAGGAGGTGATCCTGCCCTTCTACTCTGCTCCTGTGAAACCCTGCTTGGAGTATCATGTACAGTACTGGTGTCCTCAACTATAAGAAGGACACGGAACTGTTGGAAGTCCAGAGGAGGGCCTCGAGGATGATCAGGGGACTGGAGCACCTCCCGTATGAAGATAGGCTGAGAAAGTTGGGGCTGTTCAGCCTGGAGAAGAGAAGGCTACATGGAGACCTCCCTGCAGCCTTCCAGTATCAGAAAGGGGCCTATAGGGATGCTGGGGAGGGACTCTTCATCAGGGCTGCAGTGATGGAACAATGGGTAATGGGTTAAAACTTAAACAGGGGAAGTTTAGATCGGATATAAGGAGGAAGTTCTTTACTGTAAGGGTGGTGAGGCACTGGAATGGGTTGCCCAGGGAAGCTGTGAATGCTCCATCCCTGGCAGTGTTCAAGGCCAGGTTGGACGAAGCCTTGGGTGTCACGGTTTAGTGTGAGGTGTCCCTGCCTATGGCAGGGGCATTGGAACTTGATGATGCTATGGTCCTTTCCAACCCTAACTATTTTATGATTCTATGAGCCTCATGTGTAATTAACTGAATTTAACAGAAACTTCATGTTGTGTCAACTTTCACACTCATCTAAAACCAAGAAAACTAAAGCCAAGCCAACTACATGTGAAACAGCTACCAGTGTAATTTGGAAATAATTTTAACATTTAATTTTACTTGTTTTTAAAGGAACTTAGCAACTGAGCTCTGTAGCTAAGCCTAACATGAAACAAGCTGACCGGGGAAGGCATGGTAAGTCAGACAGCAGATTTGTATAAAATCTTGGCTATTCAACCCAAAACCTATACACAGGTCAAGAGAATTTCTCCTTTGACTACTTCAAGGTTTTAAAAGTCATAGCAAATGGAAGGTTGAATCAAAACAGATATTTCTGGACCACCTTACTGCTTCCAGTTCATGAGGCTATACAAGGGCAGCTAAGAAGCTCAAGGATCACCTTACAGAATTAATGGCAGTAACTCTCACATTATCTGCCAGTGGAAAAACAAAGCCAAAAATAATAAATAAAAAAAACACACAAAAACTCCCCAAAACAAACAAAAAACAAAACCACACACATGCCAAAAAAAAGAAACCACACACAAAAATAAATCACCAATAACCCATGATCAAACAAACATTACACAAACACGTGTATCATTCAAGTCTTACCTAGGCAATAAAAGTTTGGGGTCCTGAAGAAGCCATGAGTTAGTTAAAACTTCCAAAAGTTACAACTGCAAGTGGCTGGCACTTCTCCCTATTTTAGATGCATTCCAAAACTTTGCACAGTAATACAAATCCTGTTGCTTAAAAAAAGTCCCAGCATGTTGTTTGTCTTCTATAAAGTAGTTTTCATAATTGATAAAGGAAGAATAATGATCTACAAACTCCGAAATATTCAATGTCTGCTTAAGAACAACTGCATCACAGTATTAAGACTTTCACATATCACTTACAGCCCTTCATATTTTATTACCTTTTCTCCTTTACTGCGCAGAGAAAACTTAACTTATTAAGTGTTCAGATGTGCAGCCATTCCTCATTGACAATAGTCTATGCTGTTATATATTTGATACACTTGCCAAAGTGCACAACCTCTACCCTGAATGCTCACATAATCCTCATTCAAACTGTTGCAGAACAAGCCAAATTAATACCTAGACTAAAAGCCAAAAAACCATAATATATAAAAGGCTGTACACTACCATGACATAATGGTGAAATAGCAGTCAAAATCCTTCACTAATGCTCCTACTGCCAAACACAACTTCAGTCAATCCTCACATACCATTCCAATTGTTTATATCCCAGACGACTATAAATGTTCTCAAAAACTGTCTGTCCCTCTTATCCAGAATATATAAAAATAAAGACACACACGTAGCCTGGATTTGGAGGTATACAGTGAGTACCACTCGAAGTCAATGAAAGGTTCCTTTTGACTGCAAAATAGTCACAATCTAACACATCAAGCGCTGAAAATTAAGAGCAACAGCATTCCCATTCATCTAAGCAAAAGTATTGATTGTTTTATTCCCTTAGCAGCACTCTAATAGTCTAACCACTGTGCAACCAAGGAAATCTTTTATATATGCATTAATGGTTCAAAAGGACAACCCAGAAACACATACAAACAGACATGTATCACAAATGTCAGGACTGGTTCTTCAACACAACTTTGCTTACTTTGCAGGAGCTAGCAAATAATTCAGAAACCAAAATTCGAGCAAAATATTTTTGTAGATTTTCAAACATGGAACTTGGTCCTCCTTTTCAAAACAAAATATGCTTATTTATTTGAATGTGATTTAATACTAGTACTAACAGGTCTCTAAAATGTCAGATTTTTTTTCTGTATGCTGCCATATTTGAAGAGTATGTACGCTTTTCATGTGTGCTTTTGGTCTCCACGTGTCAATCCCCAAAGCTCACACTTCTCATCCCTATTTCTGGTTTGATCATATTTAGAAATCTTTTTTTGGCATTTACAGAAATACCAAATTTATACAAAGCTTAGTGGTGTTTGTCCTAACTAATGCAATGATTTAATTAGTCTTCATAATCCATGTAGAATCCTATAATTCTGCACTCAGAATATGCCTTCCTTAAACTTACATTGATTCTAGTAGTAGCTAAACACGAGGGACAGAAAAATATTGTCCCTTCTGAGATGTAAAGTAAAAATTTTGCATACCGGGTTTGCAGTGATAAGCACTAATTTTCTGATCAACAGAAAGGTGGTTAACTGTTGCTACCTCACAGGACGTACTTTAAGGTGAGATTTATATCACCTTAACTGTGAGAACTGTGAGAATCACTTATTAGTGTCAGCAAATAGGAGTAAATTTGTCTAAACAGAAGGATTCACCCTTACTTGCTTTAATTTTGACTTCCACCTGGTTCTTCTGGCTAGGGAGAGCATTTTCAAAGCACTATGGCAATGCATGGTGGTCCCAAGATGCACAATAATCTACAAATCCTTTTGTTGTACCTTCTGAAGAGAGTTTGGGTAAAAAAAGTGGTTTTTGGGCAGTCAGTTGTTTTATCACTCACAGGTTCAAACAACTGGCATCTGTAAGTACACGTACATGTCCATACATATGTGGACACATAGCATACATCTACAACCCTTGTAAAACAGGAGTACATAAACTGATGCCTAAAGTTCTGCTTCTTCAGATTACGTTATGCTTCAATGACTAAGAGCAATGTTCATCTGAAACTTGACACCAGATGATTGAGTTTGCATGACTTAAGTAAGCATTATTCCTCAAGTACGGCTGAAAATGATAGGAAAAGAGGCCCCGAGAGATAAATACTAAAATAAATAATAACTTTTAAAAATCAACTTATTCAGGGGCACACTTGCTTGTCCTAACTATTTAAGTTATTGGGTTCAAAAATGTGAACTGTGCTTTTTTCAATTAGACATTTACTTAGAACAAGACAGTATGCTGGCACACAGCTCTGAGAGCATGAAGCAACAGCAGTGTCAGTTCACACAACAGAATAGCAAAAATGTCAGAAATATAAATTCAAAGAGCAACTGTTAAAATACTTGAAATATTTCATTATCATTAATGTCAGAGAACCATATGTGAATGTTTCAGTATCCTTCCCAGTCAGCAGTGCACATCCAGAGCACTGCATTTATTAGCATGTTGCCTTCAAATGAAGCTAAATGTTAACATCCATATTCTCTGTATTCCTTTTAGCTACTGTTACAATGGGATCCAGTTCTACACTTGGCAGCCACCTGGGAAAAAAAAAAAAAAAGCTACCAAGGACAGAAAAAAAATTAAACTGTAAGATCTCATCCTCTGCAATAACAGTGGAAATATTGCCCTTTGGGGAACAAAACACTTCTGGCAGTGATTTCCAAAGGAATATGAGCCCTTCCTAACCTTCAAAAAAGTAACTTAAAAAAATTATAGCCTTCCCTTCAGGATTGTAATGGATAAGCCAGTGAGGCACAGTTTTCAACCAGACACTGTGTAAAACCACAACTCCTGAGCCAGCATTATTATACACACACATCATTCAAGATGGTGTTTTTCTAGTTGATGTCTCCTCCTTTTCAGAAGATAGAATCAGCTCTCTGCTGAAGAGCATGTAAGACTCACCAAACACTGACCTGGATGGATGGCAGGCTGTCCTGCATCTGCATTGGATGCACTTGGCCAGGCCTGTGGAGGGGCCAATACAGCCCCATGAGGGCAGCCACTGCCCTACATTGGGTACAGACAGTGCCAGTCAGCTCCACCCCACCTATAGCCAGCCCACGCTGTGCCAAAACTGAACCAACCACAGCCACCAGGGAACAGACACCAAAGGAAAAAGATGACGCTCAAGCTGGGGCAGACATGATGGCAGAGCAAAAGAGAGACACTGGGGCAGAAGAGTCACTGCAGAAAAAGGCGGCACAAGAGGAGATGCCTGAGCTGGACTACAGCACAGATATGTCCAAGAAGGGTTGGGTTAAACTGATACTCAAACAGGAACAGAGCAAGGAGATGCCTAAGCAGAGCTGCAGCTAAAAGATGCTCGAGCTGGGAGAGGTGCACAAGAGGAAGGTACACCTCTAAGGGGACACAGCAGTCTGTGGAGGAGCCCACGCTGGAGCAGCAAAGCAAGAAAACAAGGAGAGACAAATAAGAAAAGAAACCACTAAGCACTGCCCCCAATTCCCTGTGCCACCTGTCACCTTGCCAAAGGCATGGGCTGCAACGTGCAGAGAGGTGACTGGAGGACAAAAAAAGAGGGCTGAAAGATCCTTGAGAGATCTTTCTTAAAAAACTTTTTAAAACTGTAGTATATGAAGCCAAGGCATCAAGGACTTCAAAATATAGTCATTTGGCTGCCCTTCGGATCTGAGAACGAATCAGCTAGTGCTGAAGAAGGTGGGAAGAGTAACAAAGAAAAATTCATTCTAAATCCAAGCAAAAGTATTCTATAAAGATCAATAAAACCCAGACACATATAACATCATAATTTACCAGTTCTATGGTGTTCATAATTAATGCTTACGTCATAAAACTTCAGTCTAGTTAACTTTATTTGTTCAAATTTTCTGAAATAATGACTTTAAAATTTTTAATTTAAAATTTCTAATTTTGTTATTCTTCAAAAGTCACAAAGCTTCAAGATAACTTGGAACTGGCGGAGGTCATTGCTAGACCGCTCTCCATCATCTTTACCGAGTCTTGGGATACGGGAGAGGTGCCTGAGGACTGGAGGAAAGCAAATGTCACTCCTGTCTTCAAAAAAAGCAAGAAGGAGGACCCGGGTAACTATAGACCGGTCAGCCTCACCTCCATTCCTGGGAAAGTGATGGAACACCTTATCCTTGGTGCCATCTTAAGGCATATCAAGGATAAGAGGGTTATGAGGAGCAGTCAACATGGCTTCACCAAGGGGAAGTCGTGCTTGACCAATCTCGTAGCCTTTTATGAGGAAATAACACGGTGGATGGATGATGGCAGAGCAGTGGATGTGGTCTACCTTGACTTCAGCAAAGAGTTTGACACGGTCTCCCACAGCATCCTCGCAGCTAAATTGAGGAAGTGTGGTCTGGATGATCGGGTAGTGAGGTGGACTGTGAACTGGCTGAAGGAGAGAAGCCAGAGAGTTGTAGTCTATGGGGCGGAGTCTAGTTGGAGGCCTGTATCCAGTGGAGTGCCTCAAGGGTCGGTACTGGGACCAGTATTATTTAATATATTCATCAATGATTTAGATGAGGGAATTGAGTGTACTATCAGCAAGTTTGCTGATGACACTAAGCTGGGAGGAGTGGCCGACACGCCAGAAGGCTCTGCTGCCATTCAGCAAGACCCGGACAGGCTGGAGAGTTGGGCAGGGAATAAATTGATGAAATATAACAAGGAAAAGTGTAGAGTCCTGCATCTGGGCAGGAACAACCCCAGGTTCCAGTATAGATTGGGGAATGACCTGTTAGAGAGCAGTGTAGGGGAGAGGGACCTAGGGGTCCTGGTGGACGACAGGGTGACCATGAGCCGACACTGTGACCTTGTGGCCAAGAAGGCCAATGGTATCCTGGGTTGTATTAGAAGGGGGGTGGTTAGTAGGTCGAGAGAGGTTCTCCTTCCCCTCTACTCTGCCCTGGTGAGACCTCATCTGGAATATTGTGTCCAGTTCTGGGCCCCTCAGTTTAAGAAGGACAGGGACCTGCTGGAGAGAGTCCAGCGCAGGGCAACTAAGATGATTAAGGGAGTGGAGCATCTCCCTTATGAGGAAAGACTGAGGGAGCTGGGTCTCTATAGTTTGGAGAAGAGGAGATTGAGGGGTGACCTTATTAGTGTATATAAATATATAAAGGGGGAGTGTCACGAGGATGGAGCCAGGCTCTTCTCAGTGGCAAACAATGAAAGGACAAGGGGAAATGGGTACAAACTGGAACACAAGAGGTTCCACTTAAACTTGAGAAGAAACTTCTTCTCAGTGAGGGTGACGGAACACTGGAACAGGCTGCCCAGGGAGGTTGTGGAATCTCCTTCTTTGGAGACATTCAAAACCCGCCTGGACACGTTCCTGTGTAACCTTATCTAGGTGTTCCTGCTCCGGCAGGGGGATTGGACTAGATGATCTTTTGAGGTCCCTTCCAATCTCTAACATACTGTGATACTGTGATACTGTGATAACCCTAAGTGAATGAGCAAAAAGATAAAAATCAAGTATCTTTAACAACCAGTATGCACAGCTGCCAGAAACTAATATAGATGTGACAGCATATAAACTGTGAAGTGCCAGTAAGCTGTGTCAATTATTCTGGTATGTTTGTTTATTACTGCTCCAGGATATCACAGAACAGATTCTTTGGGTAAGCTATGTCCACATACCGTAAGTGTGCATATCTTGCCCAGCTAAAAAGCCTTCCGGGAGCTACTAATCTGTGAACGATCTCCTCTGTGTCCAACCACATTTATTGCTACTAACCAAATACAGTGAACAGGGACATTAAGGTGTTTGCTTTTTATTTTACAAAAATATTTTTATAAAATTTATAGAGGTTTTGAGTATATGGAAAGCCTTTTTCTAAACTATTTCATTCAAATAAAAGGCTGTAATTACAATTCACCAATTTTAACATTTAGACATATGCTTCCAGACAAGTGGAGCTCTTTGGTACAATTTAAATGAGTAAGTTACTTCAAGGCACACTCTTATTTCCAAGGTAAATGGGAAAACACTTACTTACAAATGAGAGAGATGTATCCTACCCTAAGCAAAATAAAGTTCAGAGACTATATACTCTAATGCTTATCTGGGATTAGGTATATACACCCAGTTACTGTCATCTTCAAGATAGTTGAATAGTACGTATGTATGTATCAATTGCAATCCACCTGTTTCTGAATTACACAGGTAAGAGTAGGGAAGACAAAGTAATTCTATTCAGACTAAAAAAGATGTGAAGCACAACTAGAGAAAAAAAAAAGAATAAAAGCATACTAAAGAAAAAAGAAAATATAATAAAAATTTAAGCAATAAATACAAGAACACTATTTTTTTTCAAATGCTGCTTCCATGCCATTATTTTCAAGTGATGCAATGAAGCATGCTATATTATCCAAGCATAATATTGAAGATAGTACTTTGAACAAGTGAACCACAGTATATTCTTTGAATTTACTCATGTTACACTGGGAGAAACGGTTATAGACTGATGATACAGATAACATCACAGAACCACAAAAATCACGGACTAGTTTGGATTGGAAGGGACCTTAAATTTAACTTCTCTAAAAGTGTATAGACATCTTTGGCACACTAATTTTAAGATTTCCTACAGGTGTATATAGTCATCTTTGGTACTCTCCTGCACACCAGCCAAGTATTTCCCCCTGTCACATTAGCGTGACTGTGGACAGAAATGAATACACAAACAGCACAATTTTTAGATGACAAATGAAAACAAACAACAGCTGAGAAAGGATAAATTCAGGAAAATATAGCTAATATCATTCAGAATATATAAGTAATATTGTCCCGAAATGATGCACCATTTGACTCCCTCATAGGAATCCTTCACCATCTAGAAATTACCAGATTTTAACACTCAGCAGAATTGTTAAAATAACTCACCTGACTTCAAAGCATGACATTTCAACTAGTATTTCAGTACAAATATAGCTAACTCCTATTTCAGATGAACTTTTTTTTAGAAATACATTGACAGAATTAATTCATATAATCAATAATGCACCATATATTCAATGATTAATTAGTTCATTGTTCATAAATGTTTCTATATAGGACTGGAAAGCTGAAATAATCACTTATTCCAGAGGTAACCTTTCTTCTTTTTTTTTAAACACAAATGGCAATGCTTTAAAACGTTATTTCATATGATAGTATTCCAAGTACAAGCAAAAAGCCTGAATAGCTGGAGGGCACCCCAACCAGTTTTTGCTGACTACCTCATCCTTGCCTCTAAAATTATCACATGACTGAATTGCATAGTTTCACCTTGCAGGGAGAGCAATTAATTTGCCTACTCGTCTCCCACTGGAGACAGAACACTAGCCTCCCACATTTCAGACAAATACATAGCACAGAGCACATCTTCCCATGCCAATTTAAACAATGAGAGTTGATTACATTTAATTGTAGTTTCCTCCGAGCATGCTTAACCATCCCCCACTAACCTCAGTGTTAGAAGAAATGCATACAGGAGAAATTAAGTGGGTAAAAACAGAAGCAGGTGCAAAGCATTTATTTACTTTTTAAAATACTGGTATTCTGCTCCAGTATTGAAAAAATTATGTTCAATCCGTATATTTAACATCACCATGTATCGTGAGTGAGATGTCTGCCTGATTTTTAATGACCGTTCTTCCTACATCCTTTCTGTTTCTCAACAGAAGCGTCAAACAATGCACTAGTGACAAATTCCCCATACTGTGCCCCTTCAGCCCTTGGAGTTTAACTCCTCTCACATTACAGTATTTATTGAATTTCCAAGCCAAACGGTGTTCTGCTCCATAAAATTCTGACAAGTGGACTCTGCCAAGCTAATAACGGCTTCATTCTGCTGAAATAAACTTATTTCACTGCAGCAAACAAAATGACATGACCTGGAAAGGTTATTTTTAACTGGGTAATGACTCAATTCACACCAAGCCTCTCTCACTAGATTCCTGAATACTGTTAGGACAAATTTCTTACATGCAAATACGTCTTAACACCAGTTTTCTTCCCTGTTGCACGCTCTCTGAATGTGGCTAAGGCATTTTCAGGTCTGTGTTGTTTGATTTTTTTATTCAATAGTTTAGTAAGCTTTGTTTGATTTTTTTTATTCAATAGTTTAGTAAACTTGTTAAACAATGCATAGTGAGAATGCCTCAGTGGGGTGACCTAGCAAGCTGGAAAAACGAAAGCTCATACAAGGAGGTTATGCCCTCACATTCTCCACCCTCACCCCCCTACCTTTTAAGATTTTTTTGTCTATTTATTTTATAAAGTTACATTAAAATTGCCCTAATATCTAACAAATTTGAGAAGTAGTACTTTGAGACAGATTGCTTAATGTTTTCACATCTGCTCTCTTTTAATCTTTCACTAATTTTGACAGCACTGCTGTTACAGAGGTGTGGAGAATAATGGATTAGAGAACTAATTTTACCTTCCACAAA